ATACCGACAATTATATTCACACAAATTTAAAAGGATATTCTTTAGTTTCGGAGGACGAATGTTGAATTCAGGGATAAAAATATACTTAGAAGCACATTGACCAGTATCATAATTTTTTGCATGTATGACATAATTGTCAAAACTTCTATATACCATCTATGTGCTATTACATAAGTTATTCAGCGGAACTAAATTTTTCAGTAGCATGACAGGCATAGTTTTCTTCAAAATCAATCTATATGCAATGGAAGATCAATTTTAACTTAGTCTATTACATATACGATGACACTGGCATACATAAGAAAAAATAAACTTGACAACAAACCTGTAGGATAAAAGGCCATTTGGTATCAAAGAATTAAAGTATTCTTCTTGGTAGTAATTGTTGGAATCATATTCTGCTTATTTCTACCATAAAATTTCACAATCAACCTTTCATTTTGTTGAATCAACATATTCATTTCTGTTAGCTAAGATAGCTTTTTAATTTCTATCATGCAATTTGCACAAATTACATTTTAATCTATTGATAGAAATATTTTCCTTATTAAATGCACTACTATTACAATTGGGATTGATAACCAAGTGTTCTGCAAGAACAAAATCATCTTTTATTAGATGCTCTTTTTCGTTTCTGACACGAAGCAAGAAGTTACCGAATACTGGATTTGTTCTTACTTTATGTTTATTGTCACTTGAATCTTTTTCAGTTGAGGCCATAGGTATAATTTTGGCAAGCTAGTTTTTACAGTCTCTGCTTTCGTCGATTTTGTAACTGTTGATAATACTTGACAAAAATCACCTTCCAAGCCATTAGTTTTTCACTAAATGGTTCACTGGTATTCAATATATCTCCATGGACAATTCTTTCGATCATTTAACACTTAGCCATAAGCGATTCATCCCATATTATCAATTTTGCTTTCCTAACAAATTTAGCACTGTTGCTCTGCTTTGATATATTTGTGATGGTTATTTCAGTTGTTTGAAGAGATATATCAAATCTAAAGTGAGTGGCCTCATAATAAAATCGTTGCTGGTACACCATTTATTGTTATTGCTAACAGTATCATGCCTCATGATTTGACATTTGCAAGTAATGCATGACATAGAAATATTATTTTGGTTCCGCCGGAAGCATCTACAAAGGATAATCCCGCTATAAGAGTCGACTCTTTATAATATAGTCTTGAAAGCTTGTTCTTGTTCAGGATTTAACTTTGATTGTGCTTCAACATACACTTGTATGGCCGTTTGATTCTTGATACTATAATAACATTTTTTACTTTGTGTTCTAATTTTTTTTAATCTCTAACGCTCTTTTTATGGAATAAATTTATGTACCCTAAATTTTTTCTTAACTTGAAAAATAATTTTACTCATATGATAAATTTAAAAAATAATTGAATTGGATTCTCTTGCTAAATAATTAATAGAAAGATTTAATTATTTGGTCTTAACACAAAAAATAATTTTTTTTAAGTTGATTCAGATTCTTAATATTAGTTCATCTCTTGTATTGAAGATTTAATCTTAATTATAATTTTATCCACCATAAATTTTCTTTTCAAAGAGTAAAAAGATCGATCTGACATTACAGGTTTAGATCTTTATATATGTTTGCAGAATCATTCGTGGTATTGACTCTAACCAATCATTTTTCTTTCTATTTCTCACACACTTATATTTTTAAATATTTTCTTAGTTGTTCTTTTTTTTTAATAATTGGGTATATTTTTCAATATAACACGAAAAATTGATTAAAAAATATATTATTTGAGTAGGAAAATAGTTTAAATATAATATAAAAACATATTATGGGGATATTTTTTCTCAATTTCAACGGTTTATGCAGTCCATTTAATATAACTTTTATTTTCTCTTAGTATTGGGTATTGTGGAGTGGTAATGTACTGTCAATATGGAGGATTCTTATGAAATTTATTTTATTAAACCTTTCTACATATTTTAATAAGAAATTTATAAATAAAAATTATTAGTTTTAAAATATTAAATATTAAAAAATTAACATAGAAGGTCTTGTAGTCCAAAAAAACATGTTATTTTAGTTATCTTTCCCTATGAGTTCTTCTATTTAATATTTTAGGACTATTTTGGTCTATCAATATTGTATTCGTGCTTTTATAATAATATATGCTCTCCTTTTTCTAAATGAATTTGGACAATATAATGCATTCTCAAATTAAATTAGTAATAGCATATTATAATACATTTTCAAATAAAATTAGTAACAAAATTTTTTAAGAAGTATATCCTAAAAGTAATAGGATTACATGACTAAAAATATGTCTCTATCCCAAAAGTAATTATACCAATAGGAAACCTAAAGTGTTCCTAAAGGTATGAGGTTTACATGCTAGCATGTAGTATTATATGTCTATGCTCTAAATTAATTATACAAATAGGATTCCTAAAAGTAATCACGTAGGATTCCTAACTTGTAATATTACGTCCTAAAACTAATAGGATTACAAATGTCTAGAATTCCGGTTATGTCCTTTTATTGTGAGTTATTATGCTTAATATTATAAGGTTATTTTTGTAAACTGCCATTATATTCATGCTTATATATATATATATAATATGTAACAATAATAGTTCAAAACACCAAATTGTTAATTATGTAACATATTATATTTTTCTGAACGGCATATTATATTTGTTATAGTCAACTACGTGAAAGAAATTTTAAAAATAAAGTATCGGAGGGTGTAGAAAGTGGACAATTGAGTGAGTAAAGCGCAAAAAAGCACCTACTACTGAAACATTCATCCCTATTTCCAGGTGAGTAAAGCGAAAATAAGGCTCTTCTTTTGGAAATGCCTTGTTGTAATTTAATATGCTAATGGTTGCAGAAGGAAAAAACGGAACTAAAAAGTAGTGGTGGGTGGTGGCGATGGACGTCTATGTAGACTAGTATGGATAAACAAAACTCAAAAGTGAAAAAGCAAAGCAGGATGGATACTCCATATAGTATAGACATGGGCCATGGTGACAACGATAAGACCTGTAACCTAAGTTAATCAAAGCAAACACATACCAAAGAGATTACCAGACTCACGGTATTCTTTAAAAATTATTTATACGATATGCATATGTGTCGTTTATTAGTAAAAAAAATTGATAAAAAGTCGTTAACGATCATGTTTAAATCCTCACTGAAACAAAAACTGTTAGTATGTGATTTCTTTCCATTTACTTTAAATTCAGTGAAATAATCTGTGCCCGCAAACTGCTCGGATACTATATTATAAAACAAACTAAATGTGTGACAGTCAAGAGGGAGACCATTCTTGGAAAGTACAGGAGCCGTAGAAACCCCACCAATTTGCCATTCTTTTATTGTGTTTGTCTAGCAAAGAAGTGGCCAACCCATCAGCAGAGCCAGCCTAGCCTTTAGACAAACTAGTCAGCAATCAAACTTACCTTTAATTGGTAAAAATAGCACGTTCTAGTCAGTTTTCGGACTGGCCATTCAAAAATAGCCAGCGTTTACTAAGTCAATGAAAAATAGCCACTATTTTGCCGCAACAGAGACCGGTCCAACATAATATACTGGAGTTCGGTGCACCTGTGTATGAACTTCCAGCATATTATGCTGGAACTCCAACACACGGAAAGTTCCAGCATAATATACTGGAGATTCGAGCACTTGTATATGAACTTCCAGCATATTATACTGGATCGGTATACTTTGCTGGAACTCCAGTATATTATGCTGGAGTTTTGGTGTACTTATGCTGGAATTCCATCATATTATGCTGGAGTTCCAGCATACTTATCCTGGAACTCCAGTATAATATGCTGGAGTTCAAGTATACTTATGCTGGAACTCCAACATAATGTACTGGCGTATTTTCCGAATTTTGAACAGTGTTTTCGCTCAAATTTATTTTTACATGAAAAGTGGCTAGATTTCGATTACCTTTAAAACTGAGCTATTTTTGAACGACCACTTGTAAATATAGCTATCCTTGAATTTCTCCCCTTTAATTGCAAACGACAAATTGCTAAACATAGCAACCCACGCCTCTTATTATTCCTCCTTAATCCTAGGGAGGATCCATTGGACTTTTCAACTCAACTAATTTAAATAACCATATATTATGGAGTACAAAGTACAAAAACAAACATATGAAAGCAAACCAATCCACGTAGTCTCCAATGTTCCCCATCACAAAAGAGTAAAATACTAGGTATTTCTTTTCAAAATCAACTTTGACACCTTAGGCAAATCCTACCTAGGGTGATATTGTCCAACCCAGTAGTGATATTGTCCGCTCTGGGCCTAAGGACAAACCTCCCTATGGGAATGTACGTGACCCTCTAGGCAAATCCTACATCAACAAAACATGAGAGAGATTTTGGATATATAAATAGACATGTCTTAGACCCTAATGACGCGTTTTAAAATCGTAAGGGCCTAGACCCAAAGCAGCCAATATTACTAGTGGGCTCGGTTGTTACATCTTTATTGCAAACAAATCATGACACACCCTTAAGAAAAGTTCACAATCTCTAAACAGAATCACATAATAGTGGCGATAATAACGCCACTGAATGGACCCATTAACTCTTTGTAAACATTGAATAATTACATGATTCATAGTCAAAGTTGAAAATAATCACTATTGTGAGTCACTAGCACGTGCTTTGATCCATCTGTACTGCATTATTCTTAACAAAGCAGCAGCAGGCCAAGAATAGAAAATTACTCCCTCCGTTCTAATTTATGTGAACCTGTTTGACTGGGCACGGAATTTAAGAAAAAATGAAGACTTTTGGAATTTGTGGTCCTAAACACGTTTAAAAAGGGCCCAGAGTATTTGTGTGGTTATAAAAGCTTCACATTAAAGTACAATTGTAAGTTTAAGCTAAATTGTTACCAAATTTAGAAAGGGGTCATTATTTTTGGAACGGATCAAAAAGGAAATAGGTTCACATAAACTATAAACTGGAACAGAGGGAGTAGTACTTACACTAGAATACAAGATGAATGAATTTCTAAAAAGACCATCTTTTTCCTTCATATTACAATTACAATGAAGGACAAGTGACAAACTTTTCAGTCACAAAGAAAGAACCCCTTCTTGAATCTTCATGCTACAATAAGTATTCTCAACTCATACCTTGTTCTAATGCTATAAAAGAACCCTAGTCACTCCCAAAGAAAAGATCCAATCTTTTGGCCTCTCTCTTACTTTGGGGTACATATTACAGTTTTATTCTTTCGGATCTCAACTTAAAACACTCATTCATCACCTTGTCACAATATACACACATTACTGGATTTGAATGATTAGAAAACAAAACTCATCAGCAAATTGGACTAAACCCTCTTCCTGTTACTCTATATATACAATATACTAAACGAATTGGTGTAGTTTTTCTTGCCTCTTCCCCAAAAATCTCTTCTTTTTTTTTTCCAACATCTTTGTGTCAAGGTGTTTACCTAAGCTACAGCTGAGATGCTGCAGCTGCCGCGACAATTGAAGCCTTCAATCCTCACAGGAGCTGGCTTGTTTCCGAACTTCATTCGAACACAGCCTCCTCCGCTCATAATAGTGGAGGAGGGTGGCGGTGGTGAGGGCGCCACTGCTCTTTCCGGGATTGGTAGTATAGGGACAAAATTGTGGTTGCCAAACTGAGCATCTTGGATCAGGGGATTCCCAGCCCTGCTAGGTGGAGATCCCCCATAAAAGAATGGTGGAGATGAAGCCACCTCAAAATTAGCTTTATCAACTTCATAATTCTCCTGTTCACATGAAAAATCAGATTATCAGAACTCGTCAGCTATAAGTGACTAAGGGAGTGAATTAAGTGGTTAACAATATAACATACTAAAAGATCATCTAGAAACAAATCAACTACAGTATTATGTTTCTTTGAAAACACTGTTTAGAATGTCTCATCTCTTCAAATGAGCTACTACTTCAATCACATAAATCCCAATTTATGTGTTTTAACTAAGAAAGGAGTTAAAAAAAACCGGAAACTTTTGGTCTTAAACGAGCCGTAAGACATTTAAGTGGATATAAATCATCTAACTAAGAGTAAATAGGTTGTTTCCAAATAAAAAAAATGTTCCATTTTTAGGAACAGACTAAAAAAGAAAAGGGATGGAGGGAGTACAAAACTTCTTCTAAAGCAGAAAATCACAGAGTTGAAGTAGTAGTTTTAGCTATTCAATTCAAATGAGTGCCCCACTTTACTAGTTAGGAGTAATAGAAATGCCCAAAAAAGATGCAACATATCAAAGATGGATGACATAAATTTCTACTGGGAACCAAAATTTTAAGATGATTTACTTGAATCACCTTTCAAAAGGAGGAAAAAATTAGATTTTTATTTTCTTTTTCCAATAAAAGCACATCTTGAGCAGAAAATCACCTTGCTGAGGATGATATCCAGCAGTTCAGTTCCGGCTTTCAAGTCGCGAGCCTCCATTTCGTGATTGCTAAAAATCCAAAAATAAAAACATCAAAAAGATAGAAAGAGAGAAAAAAAATTGAGATAAACTTAAAGTAAGGAAGAAAAGGGCAAACCTGATTTGCAGCAAATGACAAGGTCTGATTAGTTCTTCAGATGGAGAATTGAAAAGGCTAAGCTTACGGCGGGGCTTGGGGCAAACGACACCGTTTGACACAGAGATGATGTCTCCTCCTCTCACTGTCTCTCCAACTCCAACACAACCACCCACCAAAGCCTTCTGTTGATAAGCGTACATATTCATCTTCTTCTTTTTATTTATGTTCACAACAGATCCAAAGCCTGAAAATTACAGTAAAATGTTTACAACTCTTGATAAAATCTCCACCTCCATATCCACAAACATATATATATATATATATATGAAATTACTATAAATAAACATAGAAGAATAAAAGGAGAGGTACCTGGTGGGTTAACAAGTGGATGCCTGTGGGAGGCGAGAGAGAGAGATTTTAGGGGGAGAGTGAGGCGGAGAAAAAAGAGAGAAAAGGGATGGGATTGGGGACAGACTATTCATAGGAGCGGAGAGAGAAAAGAAAATGCGTGATTATTCATTTTTTTTCATTTGAATTTTTTCCAGATATATTCTTTTCCTTTCATGACGTCTATAAAATATTTCGGCACTGGTGTTTAAAAGGAAACCAAAACTTAATTAATAATTTTTTGAACATAAAATATATTTTTGATGATAAAAAAAAAAAGATACAATAATGGGTATTTCGCAGTTTTATACTGCGAATTGGCTTAACGAATTTTTTGCCGTTAAAGCATTTCGCAGTTTTAAAAAAAAATAATTTTTTTATGACATTTCGTAGTACAGTACTGCGAATTACAATTCGTTGTACTGAACTACGAATTGCCCTAATAAAAACGGGTCGTCTTCTTCCCACAGACAACGATCTCCATTAAAAAATCAAACTCAAAGTTTTCTGGTCCCCCACCCCGCCTACATTTAAAAAAAAAAATTTCGGCCCCATCCGTCCCATAAAGAGCAAGAAGTGTAGGTCCCACACACAAAAGAAGTTTTGGATTGCGTGTTTCGGGTGCAAAAATTCGATTTTAATAATATTTACATCGAGGTATTTCAATTTAGTTTATGCCGAAACTCATATAGTCATGCATTAGTATTGTTTAGTATGTTTCCATGTGAATTTTTGTTATGTTAGTGTTTAATTTTGTTTCTTTTATATACCCGATTTGATTTATTTGATATCCGAATTTATGTTATGTTTGTGACCAAAAATGCTACTTGATTGTTTGTGTTAAATAATATTATTTATTTTGTTTATTTGTATTGTTGATGTTATGTTCATATTGTATAGCCTTATAGCGTAGTAAAATATAGTGTCTTTTAGCGAAGTAAAATATAGAGCCTTTTAGCGAAGTAAAATGTAGAGCCTTTTAGCGCAGTAAAATGTAGAGCCTTTTAGCGTAGAAATTGAGACTTATAATAATTAAGAATTATTCGGTGGTACCGGGCGTCAAAAATCAAGCCTGGAACCCATACATAACTATTATCTCCAATTTCAAAAATCATACTTAATTTAATTTATTAAGTTAATAAAAATCTAAAAATGGAGAAATTGAGACTTATAATAATTAAGAATTATTCGGTGGCACCGGGCGTCAAAAATCAAGCTTGGAACCCATACATAACTATTATCTCCAATTTCAAAAATCATACTTAATTTAATTTATTACACTAACACAAACAATTAATTTTGTTTAAATTATAGTAGACGACATGGCGTTTCTTCCGCCTGCGCATCCTGGATCTGCCGAGGATCAGCTACTAGTGCTGCAGGGCTACCATAGGTCATCCTATGTTTGGGAGGGACAGCTAGAGATGCAGCCTCTCCGCCCCAGGAGGCCTGATGATTTGTGGGAGTTTATTGCGGAGCATCGTTTCCATCCGCGCGTAGTAGAGATCCTCCAGACTTCGGGATTATATACCATTTTTCAGCTTGGACGGATGCAGCTTGATTGGTTGCTCATCACGTCCTTGGTAGAGCGGTGGCGACCGGAGACACATACATTTCACTTGCCCACTGGAGAGGCTACTATCACGCTGCAGGATGTCCAGGTTTTATATGGACTGCGCGTAGAGGGGCGCGCCTTCGCACTGCCCCACCGCTGGAGAGGGATGACACGTGCACAGTTGGCGGACATGATGGGGCAGTTGACTGGTTCGAGACCGCTGGGTGACCGGGGTGGCAGTCGCGTGGCTTTATCATTCATTAGAGATCAGATGGCGGTATTGCACCCAGATATTACCCACGAGACAGAGCATCTTTGGATTCAGCGGTACACTCGGTTGGCGTTGCTCCTGCTTTTCGGGTGTGTCTTGTTTCCGGACACCTCGGGGAACAAAGTGAGTATGCGCTTTCTTCATTGTCTTGAGCAGCTGGATGAGCTACCCCAGTACAGCTGGGGTGCTACTGTTCTGGCGTATCTCTATAGGAGCATGTGCCGCGCGAGCGTAGGTCCAGCGGTTGATATATGTGGTTTTCTGCCCCTCCTTCAGGTGCAAAAAATTTCCGAATACATTGTTTGTTACCCCAAATTCTATATCGTGAAATGACTCATAAATTTACATCAACATTTTATCTTAGGTTTGGCCTTGGCAGCGGATCATGCCGTTGCAGCCACCTCTACCAGTACTTCCGCCCGGTCAGGATTATCCGTTTCTCCCTCTAGCTATCAGGTGGATTCTCCTGCGTGGGAACTACCGAGGGACGGATGCTCACCATAATCTCCCCCTTCTTAGGGATGTGTTAGATATGTTGGTGGACGGACAGGTAAATATGTACCTATACTTGGTTGTTTTAAACTGAGTTGTGTTTTGCGTACTCATTTTTATGTTGCTATTGGTACTCATGATGAGGAGTTCGGAGTTCGGGGCTTTGGAGATGAGCAGCAGGGTTATATCACTCATGCAGATGAGCCTTCCAGCAGCATGCCTTCATATAGCCTTCAGCTATCTTTGCCAGCATCGCAGGTCACCCCGTCAGGAGCATTGTCGATCATGGGTACATTCGACGGGGATGTAGATCAGTACTTCGCATGCCCATCTACCGCAGCTGAGGATCGGCCGGCCCGAGACGTGGATGGCGGGCGCAGGTTGAGTTATCCATCGTCCCCGGCAGTTCATGCGGTATGTTTGTATGACTTTAATATTTCAATTTGTTTTCTTTCCTTAAATAGCTGCCATTAATTAATTATAACTTTCTTATGCAGTCTTCGTCTCAGCCCATCTTTGAGGCCACTACATGCGGTGATGGGCACACTATCGATACATATACCCAGGAGGTCGACGAGACCATGGTGAGAAAATATTTTCTTACTTAAAATAATAGTACATTCTGTAGGTTAAGATAATAATACATTTTCATAAAATAATACATTCATACATGCTAAGATTACTTCTTGTTTTGTAGGTTACTCACGGCCCTGCCAGTTGTGGTGTTGACGCTGCTGCACATCCTCACATAAAGAGGCGGCTTGACGACGATGATCCAGATAGTGTGCCCGGGCGACAGGGGATGCGACTTAGGCCAGCAGCAGCACTGAAGCACACAGGCTGCGGCACTCACTGATTTGCTTATGTATTAAATTTGTGTAAATAGTGCTTTATGTAAACAATACATCTTTTGACAACAATTTTATTTTAATTGTGTTTGAACAACAATTTTACTTAAACAATACAACTCAAACACAAACCTTACAAACCTAACACATAAACAAACAGTACAACTAATGGAAGCACTTGACACAACAGAAACATGAAGATACACTACAACACACAACACGTAAATGTCATCGCTTAGTTACGACCGCCTAGTATTCTCTCCTTAATCCTCTCGAGCTTTCTTTCCAATTTCTTTTTCTCTTCTTCCACCTCCTTGATCTTCGCCTTCAACTCTTCAATTTCTTGTTTCGATTGGCGCTGTCTGTCCCACTGCCCATTACACACATCTTGAAGATGATACACCTGGTCTTTGTAGTATTCCTGCTGACATGGTTCATCAATCCATACCTTAAAATTGCATATAGGTACGTCGGGTTGCCTATAAAACTTGTTCATGCACGCCCAGTAGCGACGTCCAGCTTCTTCCCATTCATCGTACATCATGCTTTTGTTTCCACATTCGCACTTTAGGCAACGAAAGGGTCGTACAGACATTTCTTAAAGAGAAGTTTGGTTTTATGGAAAATCTCGATTATAGGTTCTTTTGAAGCATAGAAAAAAACTCGAACGTGCTTGTTATTTATAGGCAAGATATGAAATAGATCGTAGTATTATACTGCGAATTACAAACATGACAACTCCACAAAACGTAGTATTATACTACGAATTACATAGACATGACAACTCCACGAAACAGGGTTTTCACATGCTTTTCAGCTTTTTCAGAACGAAATGACAACTCAATAAAACGTAGTACTGGAGTACGAATTACTTATTAAATTCAGCTTTTTCAGAACGAAATGAACGAAATGACAACTCAATAAAACGTAGTACTGGAGTACGAATTACTTATTAAATTCAGCTTTTTCAGAACGAAATGACAACTCCACAAAACGTAGTATTATACTGCGAATTACATATTAAATTTCTCTGACATGAAACAGGTTTTTCACATGGTTTTCGACATAACATTTTAAATTTCCACATGACAGCTTTAGACTTGCATATTTCGACATATTTTTTATTGAAACAGAATTTGAACAAGAAACATAATTTGAACATGAATTTTATTAGAAAATGAAACACAAACACAAAAGCGGGAAATCTAAAGATACATGACAGTACAACTGCTACAAACACATGACAATGGAAACATGAAAATACACTAGTACGCTTATTAAAAATAAGCTACTATTTAATCACGATCGTGTCTTACAGTTCGCTCCAACCACTCGAGTTGCTCTTCCAAGTTTTTTTTCTCTTCTTCTGCCTCGTTGAGTTTGGCCTTCAATGCCTCAAGTTCTTCATTGGTTCGACGCTCGCTCTCCGCTTGGCTATGACATAAACAATGAAGCTCATAAATTCTTTCTTTGTAGCGCTTTTGCTTACATGGTTCGTCCATCCAAACCTCAAAGTCACATGTAGGCTTGCCGGGTAACTCCTCGAGCTTGTTCTTACATGCCCAGTAGCGGCGTGCACCTTCTGGATACCATTTGAACAAACTGCATTTTTCTCCGCAGTAGCACCTTGGGACATAAACGTTTTGTGCAGACATTTCTTATAGAGAAACTTTGGTTATTGTTAAGCGAAGAATATAAGTACCATGCAACCGTTATTTATAGTCAAGATTTCAAACAAAAACGTAGTATAATACTGCGAATTACATAGTAAATTTCAATGACTTAAAACAGAGTTTCCACGTGCTTCTCAGCTTTTTCAGCAGGACATGTCAAATCCACAAAACGTAGTATTATACTACAAATAACATATTAAATGACCCTGACACGAAACAAGGTTTTCACATGCTTCTCAGCCTTTTCAAAATAAAG